TTCACAGATATCTTCTAGATAGCTCTCAGATTCTCCTGTTTCTCCCCCATGGTTACTGCCACAAACCCAGCCCAAAGTTCTAGGATCTCTTCTCTGGATTACTTGAATGGTGTCCAGTCATCAACTCTCCAGATCCTAGCACAGTCTCCATACCATAGGAGTGATCCTTTAAAATGCAGATATGAAATCACATCTCATTGCTTTTTTAAAATTGAGATATAACTGACATATAACACTGTAGTTTTAGGTGTACAACATAATGATTTGATATGTATAGCAAAATGATTACCACAATAAGTTTCAGTTAATATCCATCACTACATACGGTTACAATTTTTTTTTCTGGTGCACATCTGATTGCTTTAAGGACAAAGTCCAAAATCCTGAGTGCTGCATACAAAGCACAATCTGGCCCAAGACTACTTCTCCAGACTAGTTACAAACAGGTCTAAGCATAGACTTTGCTTGGCAGCCTCTGAGCAACAACCCCCCCCCCCCCACCCCGGCCCCACACACTATTTAGTAACTATCTCGCTCTCTAGGCTAACCCATAGGTGTCAGCCATCTGACCCTGAAGGCATTTGATTTTGCAATGATGCTCTTTTTTTTGGATCAGATCTCAGCATAGACCAAAGGGATTCTTTAAGGGATGAAAATGGCCTGAGCCTACTAGGCTTTCTCCATGATTAGGTTCATTTTCATAAATACAAGAAGTTTCAAATAGCTAATTAAGCAAATTAAGAGATTTAGAGCCATCTCCATAGTCCCACAGCCAGGTGTGAAGGCAAATGTCAGACTGAATCCTATGACACATTTAAACATTTATGTGCAAGCATATACAGAACCAGTCCTATAATACGTTTATAAGCTCAATGATGTCCATCTCTCAGGCCTCTCAAGTTCACATCCTGTATGAAAGATTCACTTGAGGAAATGTGACAGTTTTCTGGTCTCAGGATGCTGCTAAGATTATAGCTGGGTTTAGGAAATGAGTTCCCTAAGTCAGTGACTGGACACAGGGCTGGGTCAGAATTAAGCCTTGGGCTCCATTCTGGAAGGTAAAGGCTTTTAAGTAAAGGTGGGAATGCTTTCCCTGAATCTATATACCACTTATTTATCAGGTGAAAAATAACTTATAATGTCTATGGTGCTATCTAAAACACCCTCTAATATTAACTGAAGATAAAGATAACTGTTGGGAAAGGCAGTCTCCTGCATGTGGTCTTTCATGATTACTTGGCTGCATAAGAATAGGCCTTGGACCCGGAACACTTCCTTACCAAAAGGTAAAGAGCCCATACAGCCTGTGCTGGGCTTATCACGGCTCTTTCAAACACACTTTTACCTCCAGCCCCTTCTCTCTCACCTTAGAAATATTTCCATTTCTTTTCTTTTTTTTTTTTTTTGACCCTATAACTCCCTTTACCTTTCCCCTATTGTTCTGCAACTTCTACTTCCCTTTCTTACCTTTCTTACCTTCTATGCATCTTCAATCACACACAAACTGGTGTCTACTTCCTTTGCTCCCAACGGAAAGGTTCTTGCCCAAGTCACTAAGGATCAAATTAATTTTTTTTTAAATCTGAGGCATTTGCAGAGTCAGTATATTAATTAAGGTAGGTGAGGATATGCTGCTGGAACTCCTAAATCTTAATGGCATTACCCAATAAATGTTTATTTTTTGCTCATGTCATGATCTATTTAAGTAAATACTCACTTTTGTGTGTCTTCCATGTGGTGATTCGGGAACATAGGCTGCTTTCATCTTGTGGTTCCACCATGCCCTGAGGGCTTCTTCATCCCCTGGACCTCTGCATCTGGCAGCTGATGAACAAAGGACTGTGCGGATTGTTAGGGGACAGAACTGGAGGAGAAACAGATCACTTTTCCTTTTATTGCACTCGCCATACATAGCCTGAAGGGCAGGCTGGGAAATGCACGGTAGCTGTCCCATTGGGAAGAGAAACTGCTGAGGGTATAGCAGTTCTTTACCGAAGTCTGCCATTCCTCCTTTTTGAACTTTCTCTCCTTTGACGTCCATGGCTCCATTCTCTCTTCTGGTTTCAGTCTTCAAATCTTGACAGCTTGTTTTCAGTCTTCTTCAAGGCTCCCCTCTCTTCTAGTCATTCCCTTAATACTGGTATTCCCCAGCATTTGTCTTTAGGCTCCTTTCTCTTCTCACTACAGTATTCTCCCTGGAAGTTTTTGCAAACAACCAGAACATCTGCCTCCGTCTTTCTGGTCATACCTCCATGTAAAATCAGCTCTTCATCCTATAAGTACCCATCCTGATTAAGTGGGCATCTGCTCAGTCATTAGACCAGAAAACTGGAAGTGATCCTACATTCTCTCTTATCCTCTATAACCAAGGTTTCTCAAACACCACACTATTGACATCTCAGGCTGGATAATTCTTTGTTGGGGAAGCTGTCCTGTTCATTATAGGGTGTTGAGCAGCATCTGTGGCTTCTAGCTACTAGATGACAGTGGCTAACTGCCCCATCCTTTCATCAAGTCGTGGCAACCAACAATATCTCCAGACATTGCCAAATGACTCTTGAGTAGGGAGGGGCTCACCCCCAGTTGAGAACTGCATCATCCAGTCCTATAGATTCAACCCACTGTAATATTTATCCCCTCCATTCCATTTTCTTGCCATTAATTTTGTTAAATTCCACATCACTTTGTGTCTGGATTTCTCTAATTGCCTCTTATTTGGCTGTGGCAAGTTGACTGACAACAGTTATTCTTGACTCAAGTCTTCATTGACACCTTGCACTACAGAACAAAAGAATACTTGTCTCTTAGCCTCCCTTGCATGGCCAGATGACACCATTTAGCATGGCAAGTAGATTTGTGAAGAGACTGACAGCTGAACTTAAAAGTTCTAAGGCTTTGGAATCAACCAGCTTAGATTGTATCTTAGCTTCATCACTCTGGTAGTTGTGTAGTTTTAGGAAAGTTACTTAAGTTTTCTGTGCCCCATCAGTAACACTGGGCCAATAATAGTACCAACCTTATAATATTATTATGAAGTTAAACTAGTTAATATGTACAAATTGTTTAGTCTATATTTGGCCAAATGTAAACACTGAATAAATGGTGGCTATGATATAGAACTGGCAGGGATGATGTAATCTCTCTTTTCCTTGCTAATCTCAAAGGTTACTACTCCACATCCCACCCCTGACCACTGTTCACCTTTTAAGACTCAGTTTAGGGGAATCTTACTCTGGAGGTTTTCTCACACTTTTCCTTCCAAATTACAGTCCCTTTCTCAGATATTACTTAATTTTCTCCCTCACTAATCTTTGAACTTCTACAAAGCAAGGGCCAGACCTTTCTTTTTCTATATAGTCCCAGGACCACCACAAATGCTCAATAAATATGAAATGCTCAGTAAAGATTTGTTGCCTAAATCCAAAGTGAATATTAGTAACATACACCAGCCTTGCAAATAATTTCCCTTCCATTTAGCAGCAGATAGAGCAAGTGGATTTCTAGAAAGCTTCTGACATACCTAGTGTAAATGAAACACAAATCAACCAGGTGAATGTTTAAAGGAAGTTTATCTCACCAGCCTGGCAACCCTTGCCAGCTTTTAAGAAAATTGAAGCTAGGAACCATATTACTATTAGGATAAAGAGGAAAACTATACATGCAACCCTAAACCTTTCAGACATCCTTTAAAAAATTTATTTTAAATAAATTCATCTAAATTTGCACAGGAGAATAGCACTGGGAATTGTTAATTGACCGAGAAGTCACAGTTTTAAAACTCCATTGACACGCTTTCTAAAAACGAGGAGCTTTAAATTGCCTTGTGGTTAAAGGAACTTTTAACTACACACACACACTTTTTTTTTGCCTGTCCAGTCTTTAACAGGCTGTTAATAAATTGGAAACTTATTCTCATCCTGGTCTCTGTGGAGGAAGACCCGGCCAGGTTTGGTTAGGAAAATTTGGTGGTGGCTTTTCTTCCTGGGTTTTGGACCCAACCATTTAACCAACTTCAACTAAGATCCCTTTCTCTAGATCAGAATTTATTAGAACATCTCTTCTGGAGTCATTCCTAAATCAAATCTTATTAAAAAGTAACTAGAAACAAATTACTAGAAACTACGAAATTTCTTAAAAAGTCTTCAAGAAAAAACTCATTTCCTTTGCCTTAACAAGGCGGGGGTGGGGGCGCACCTCATATGCAACCCACTCTTTAAAAAACTTTTCATCTGTAGGACCACGATGTCTCAGTAACACTTGTGACTTTCTCTGATGACCAGAGCCCTTCAAGACACTAGTGACTACTACTCTTTTCCCTTGGATGCCCCTTCGTTCCCGAAAAAGTGACATGAAGACTGGAGAGCCAGGGGTCGACAACAGGTGGTACACCGATCGCTCTCTGGAAGCGAGTGCCGCCTGCCCTCCGGGCACGCCTCATCCGTGGTGGCGCGCTCTCGCGCCCCGGGGGCTGCGTGGGCTCCAGAGCGAGGGTCCCCGCCGCTGGGAGGGGGCGAGCGCGCCCGGTTCACGTTGCCTCCACGCCCACCTCCTCCCGCTACGCGTCCCCTCCCTTTGCGAAAGCTCAGAGTCTCGGGGCCGCCCTTATTGTTGGCTGCGTCTATCACTGTGGGCCGGGTGACATGAATGGATGGGCTAGACACACCTTCCAGCCTTCTAGAAGAAGAAAAAAAAAAAAAAAGTCCGGATCTGCATAGGGAGCGGGAGGGACTCCTCCGGAGCCCCCAGAGCCTACGCCGCGGGCCAGGGACACGCACAGCTTCCCCCTCCCACACTCACTCCTCCCATCCTTTAAAAAAAACCGCCCAACCCAAATAAATAATATCGTTCCAAGCCTGGCGGCGTCCTCGATGCCCTCTCCTCCTTCCCGGGTTCAGCACGCTCCAGTTCTGCGGGAGGCTGCGACCGGAGGCGGCGGCGCGGACCTGGTGCGGGGCGCGGAGCTAGCGGCGGGCGCGCAGGCGGCCCGCTGGCGCCACACTATGCTCCCCAGCGCCGTGGCGGCCCACGCCGGCGCGTACTGGGACGTGGTAGCGTCCTCCGCGCTCCTCAACTTCCCCACAGCGCCGGGCTTTGGCAACCTGGGCAAGAGTTTCCTGATCGAGAACTTGCTGCGGGCTGGGGGCGCCCCGCCGCACGGGCTGCAGCCACCCGCGCACCACGGCCCGGCGTCGACTCTAGTCGCAGCCGCCGCCGCCGCCGCCGCCACTGCCGCGGGCGTGCAGGTCCGGCCCCTGCCGGCCAGCCCCGTTCCCCTCAAGCTGTGCCCTGCGGCGGAACAAGTCAGCCCCGGCGGCGCGCCTTACGGCACGCGTTGGGCTTTTCAAGTGCTCAGCCCCTCGGCGGACGGCGCCAGGCTGCCGGGCCGGGCTGCGGCGGACCGGGACTGTACCTTCCAGCCTTCCGCCCCAGGTGAGCTAGCTCTTCTCTCCCTAGCCGCGCCCGGCGCCTCCTGCCCCGCGGGGCCGGAATCTGGGCCCTCGGCGGTGCGCCCTGCGCGGAGGGAGCGCCGTTCCCAGCCAGCAGGAATCAGCTCTGGCCTGGGACCTTCCTAGAGCGTCTCGAGCTTTAGTGGAGATGCCACTTCGGGGGTAAAGAGGGTACCACCACTAACTGTGACACCTCCCTTCCCCCACCCCATACCACCAGCTTCCTCTCGGTCTCCTTTCAACAAGTGGTAGGGCTACCTTGATTTTTCAGGCCTTTCCGGAAAAACCCTGAATGCACCCCATTGGGTTAGCGGGAAAGGGCAGCCCCGGTCCCAAGATCTCTGGGCTCGCTGGAGCAGTTTCACGGGGTTTCCCAAGGTGAGCGTTTCTGCCCGCCGGCTCCTGTCCTGGAGGCCGCGCGACACCAGCTCCCTGGGAAGGTCTTGGCCAGCAGAAGTTCGCGAGGCTCGCTTTGGGGGCTTTTCCTTTTCAAACTGTTGCGATGGCCGGGGCAGTTCAAGAACGCTGGCAAAGATCTTTGGAAGGAGAGTTGCGCAAACTTTTGGCTTTCTTCATTCTTAACATTTTGGATCACTAAGGCGCAAGGAAATCAAGACCGACTTTCTCTTTGTGCTGAGCCGGAACAGCTGAATTGGCACCTGAAATAGGAAATTCACCAATAAATGGGAATTTACTTACCCAAAGAAAGGCAATTTTGGTTTGTTTTCATTTTCGGATAAAACCTAAGTGGTGTGATTGGGAAGAGGATGCGGACGGTTTAGTCAGATATTAGCTAAAGCATATGGAGAGGCAGCCGAAATGGGCAGTGAAAAAAGGAAGAGTCTCTTAAACGCTCAGAAGCTGAGATCCAGTTGGATTAATTTTTTTTTTTTTTTTTTTTTTGCTGCGTCCTTAGACGATCTTAACTCATTCTTTTAATCCCGATGGGTTTGTCCAGAATGACTAATAGACGCTTTTTCAGCAGATTCCATTGTCCCAGCAAACTGCCGGATCAAATTTATTGCTAATGGCTTTATAGAATTTAACATGTTTAGAACCTGTCTTGGTCTTTCAGTTTGAAATGGTTACTAACAAAATGGAACAAATATAATTATATGAGCACCGGTCTCATTCTCATGGTGGAAAACCTAAACTCTAGGAAGCCTTGGGAAAGGAACAAACACAGATAAAGGCAGGGCTTATGTTCCTTGGAAATTTGGGCCGCTCTGTTATTTCCGAAGTATTTGGAAAATTAGAAACGTATAAAGCAGGTTCACCTAGATAAGAGTTAGTAAATAATGTGTCGTGAAAAATAACATTTTCGAAGAGTGGTGATTTGTCTAACTTAGTGGTTTGGCATTGTGTTCATAGAAGTTATTTTTAAGGATTTTTAAATTGCTCCTGATCATGATTGGTTACTCAACCATTGAAAGTTACTTAATTTTCACCGTTGTAGATTTTACAGATTAAACTTAAATAAACCAAATACAAATCAAATGCAGATAATTCAATAACTGAAAAAGAATTTTGTGTATCTGTTTCATTAAAAATATTGCAATTATTGTGTAAAGGTACTCCTAACTACATTTTTAAAAAATTTTCAAGGATATATTCATTCTTGTACACTTATTAAAGTGTCAAAATGCAAAAATGTTTTTTTGGAACAAGAATTTATATTTCTCTTTTAAGTATACTAATCTGGCGTAAGCATATATTTTCCCAATATTTTATTCCGTCCTCACTGAAGATATATTCTCCTCGGTTAATTTTCATTTGAACAAATAACCTTTTATTTAAAAAGAAGTGCATTTAATTTTTGAATCTAGAGAAGTAGCTTAAGAAAGTTAAAACTCTATATTTGTTCCTACAAATATGCTGCTTAGAACCAGGATTTACATTCATTTATCTTTGTAATTTGACACAGAACGTAGTTTTCTGAACATTGCCCTAGTTTTATTTAAGTAACAGATTTTTGTCCTACCAAATGTTGTGGGAATTCTTTTCTACTGTGTAGAATTATGAAGTTATAATGAGTACTGGCAAGGTTACCATCACCTGAAAATTAGCTGACTGATGATATAGTGATTGATGTTCTGTAGAGAATATAGAGGAGATAGAAGAGCTACTGTTTTTGGAAAGATAACAGTATTTCTTTATATTTCTGAAACGTGAGCAAACAACCGCTTCTGATCCTTTAGACATTTACTTTGGAGTGGATCACAAAATGTGATTTTTAATCATTTCAGCATATTGACTACTTGCTTTCTTTTTCAACCTTAACTCGTTGAGTGTACCATTCCAAATGTCGAATGAAAAAACCCCAGAGTTCTTTTTATTGGTGCCTTGGTGAAATACAGAACCATTTAACTAGGGGACTTATGCCACTGCATGCAATTTCAGCTTCATTATCTTTGTTACCCATTTTTAATTGTACCACATATTTCATTCATGCAGCAAATGCTTACCGACTATCTCCCATGTGTCAGGCTCTGTCCAGGCCAGTGGGATAGTCAGTGCACAAAACAGATGACTGTCTCTGCCCCTGTGGAGCTTATATTCCATGTTCATACTGCTCTATGGCTTACCAAGCATTTTCATAATTGTTAGCTGCTTTAATCTTTTTTTTTTTTAAGATTGTATTTATTTTTTTGACAGAGACAGCGAGAGAGGGAACACAAGCAGGGGGAGTAGGAGAGGTAGAAGCAGGCTTCCCATTGAGCAAGGAGCCCGATGCGGGCTTGATGCGGGCTCCATCCCAGGATCCTGGGATCATGACCTGAGCTGAAGGTAGATGCGTAACGACGGAGCCACCCAAGCGCCCCTGCCTCAATCTTTCTAGTAGGCCAGTTTTTTTCTACAGTGATTTACTTCACTTGCTAATTTCTTTTTTTTTTGTCAGAAGTAACAGTGAAAACTGCTGTGGACTTGTGAAAGAGAAAAAATCGCCCCATATTTTCGTATTCCTTATATTAGTTTTTTGTTGAATATCAGAAACTAGTAATAACCAATTACATGTATCACAATAATAAATCAATTGTGATTTTGTATCTGAGCCCAGAAGGAAAGAAATTGGCCTTCCCGTTCATCTTGCTGTGGGTCTCTGCAAGGTGGTGATAGTTAAGCAGTAAGTTGGATTTACAGGTAATAAATGAGAGGATAGCTCTCAGTGCTTCATCCTTGAAAAGTGGCAAGTCTTTGGGTATTTGAAGTAGGAAGAAAACACTGTAGCTATATGTCGTCAAGTGGTTTATATAGAGTAGTGTAAAAACTTTAAAAATCAAAGGGCATTCCTCAAGGCTCAAGACGGGCACATTTAGTGCAATAGAAGGTAGTAAATAGTTCACCTCCAGGGTTGAATCTTTGGATCTGTTTTAGTTTATTAGGGGAAACCAGGAAGTTTTGCAAGTAAATTAGAATCATCAGAGATCCTTCCCCAAAAGTTTATTAATGTCATTATTTGGTGAATATTATGCTAGATTAAAATATTCATGTTTTTGTATATAAAAGGGAGCCTTGAAGTGTAAAAAGCTGAAAAATTTAATTTCTCTTGGTTATGTCACCAGTTTTATTAAAAAATAAGTGGAAATAGCCTTCCCTTTTAATGACATTTGTCATTTTAAACATTTAAAAAAATGTTTGACGTAAAGATAATTTCCAGAATGTAATTTATTTATTATTAAATCTACTCCTTAAGAGGATTAGAAAGCAAATGTTTCTTCTGGTAGATGAATCCTTTTTTTTTTTTTTTAATCTTTTTAAAAATGATTTTATCAAGTAAGTTGTACTGTATTCTATAGGAAAGGAACCAGATCCATGTCATTTTTCTGGCCCCTTGTTAAGATTGCTTCTTACCATTAATACTTAATGTGCATTTTAGTTTTCTTGTCTACCTCCCAATTCCAGTTACTATTTACCTGTTAATCCATGACTCTGTCTTAAATTAATTGCACTTAGTTTTGTCTAGTCCAACTTGAAGACTTTGTGATTTAATTTATTGAGCCAAAGTTTGTCACTTAATTTTGCTACCATTGTGCTTTAGATTTGTTCTGGCAAATTAAAATCACAGCATCTTGAATGTTGGTGATGCTGACCCAGAGCCAGGACGGAGAATGGAGAATCCAGAGGAGGATTGGACCCCATTCCAGTAGTTCCTTGCTCAGGCCATTACCTCAGCCATCCTTTGGTGGAATTTTTAGATAATACTGAACCATATTCTTACTGCATGTGCATATTTTTTGTACCTTCTTAACATGTCTTTGGATTTATATTGACATATTAATAACTTTACATAGTTAGAATCAGCTCTGAACAAACTATGTTCCCCAAGTTAATGAACTCCTTCAGATTCATGGAGAAATGACTAATAGACAGTCCCTTCCCTACTAATAGTGATTCAGTAAGCCACCCTCTTTACAGAATAACACCTGATTTGGAGCTATAATGGGGTAGCAATTTATGTGCATTTAATTCGCCTCTGACTTTAGCACCTATCCCACTACCAACCCTTACAGATGCTTCTCTACCTTCTCTACTTCACTTTAACAACAAGGAATCTCAATCTGTTAACATGTATTGAAGCTATTGAGGTTTAATAATAAAACAGGAGTAAATCCAGCAGGCAAGTAGGAACATTTTAGAACTTTCCCCTGAACTCCTATTGACTTAAGAGATTTGAGGGATATTTTAAGAGGCACAATGGTTTGAATGCCCAGAAAATTGCATACACATTTATGCATAGGTAAACATAGCATTCAGAGAGTTCAGGGTTACATGCAGGAAGCCAAAGGATGCCATATGTTGTGGGCAATTTGAAAGGATTGTTGACAGTGATTTTATCCACATTTATTTGCCATAAATGGGCCTCAGATATTGGAACTGAAGCTGTGAATTAGACTCCATGGTATCCCTCTTTGAGTGTGCCTCCTTCCTCCTGCTCTTGTGCCTACCAGAAAAAAAAGTCTCCTTTGCTGTGAGAAATCACTT